GGTGAGAGACATTCTCTTATCTATTAAGTACCCATTTATAATTCAGAAGAACATTTATGAAAGTAGGAGCATGTCTTTTGTCCTCTCTATATAGGACAACATTCAGTGCTTATACTAAGTGAGCACTTTTGCTACAACTTGTTAGCAGTTTGAAATCCTGTGGGGAAAAGAGTTCATGGCTTCATCACCTGATGGAGAGCTATCACAGCTCAGCCAGTGTCACTGACCTTGAAAGCTGAATGATTACAGAGGTTTACCTTATCATATTTTAAAGGTGCTATCATAGAATTACAGAATAGTTTGGGATGGAAGGCACCTTAAAATCACCTGGTTCCAACTCCCCTGCATGGGACACCTTTCACTAGACAAGGGTGCCCAAATCGCTATCCAAACTGGTCTTAAATACATCCATGGATGGGACATCCAAAATGCCTCTGGGAAGCCTGTTTCAGTGTCTCACCACTCTCACTGTAAAGAATGTCTTCCTGATATCTAATCTAAATCTATGCTCTTTCAGTTTAAAGCCATTACATGCCTTTGTAAAAGTCCTCCAGCTCCCTTGCACAGGCCCCCTTTAAGTACTGGAAGGTGCTATAACGTCTCCCTTGTCTATCCAGGCTGAACAGTCCTAACTCTCTCTTGCTGCTCTCATAGAAGAGGAGCTCCAGCCCTCTGATCATCATCTTTCTCCAGATTGTTTCCAACAGTCCATGTCCTTTCTGTGCTGGGGACCCCAGAGCTCGATGAAGTACTCCAAGAGTAGAGTAGAGGGGGAGGACATTTCCCTTGACCTGCTGACCATGCTGCTTTTGATGTAGTCCAGGACCTGGTTGGCTTTACGGACTGCAAGTGGACATTGACGGGTCACGTTGAACTTCTCGTCAACCAATATCCCCAAGTCTTTCTTCTCAGGGCTGCTCTCAATCTTCATGTGCCTTCATGTCAAGGCTGCAACAAAGCAAAAAGGATCTTGTAATAGCAGTATCCGGATAAAGAGATGATTCCTATCTCTTGGCAGTTTCAAGAGCTTTTTCTTAGGTCTTTTCCAACCTAAAGAATTCTATTATTCTATAATTAATCTAAGTTTGTTCGCAACTTCTATGTATGAAAAAAAGTCTTTTTCCTCCTAGCAAAGCAGGAATTGTTGCCTCATTTTCAACTGTCATAGTCTTGTGAAACTACTTCCCTGTCCATACCTTAGATATATTCTCTGATTATATCCAAACAGAGCTAAATCTTGCTCTATCTCCTCACAGAACTCTCACCCACTTATTGTTTCTGTGTATGAAAAGCAGAGGGAGACATAGGGAGTATTATTTCTCCAAATAACAGGGTTTGGAGCTATCATGTGTGGATTGTATAGGGAAAGGAAAACATTTCTAACACATCAAGGCATATAATGGAACATAATCTGCAGACCCTTTGTCAAGTTTTAATTGAGAGTCTTCGTATTCCTGCAAGGGTTTTATTTGTAGTCATACCTACTAAGGAGCACATGTTAAATTTACAGACAGTAAAAGAGACACATGCACACACACACATTCACAAAGTATATCTCTGTGCGATACCAGAGTTATGGCAATACTTTTTTTTCCATGCCAAGTGCTGTGTGCCATAGGTCACCATCTCAGCACATTACACACAAACTCCACTAGTCTACTCAGTTCCTAGACTGGTCATCCAAAACTGATTTTTTCCCTTCTTCTCTGGAGAATTTTGAGTCTTGAAGCTCTGTTGTCTCTGAGACTGCACATGCTTTTCTCCATCAAGGGTGAAACGAGCATCTCTCATTTTCCCACACTGCAGAGGAACCATTGGAAGTTTTTATATTATCACTTTTTGAATTCTGCCCCAGTATCAGACATCCACATAAATAACAAATATTTGGAAAAGAAGTGGGTCTCAGATGCCTCTTAAGAAGAGATTCTATGTGGAATCTCTCCCCCTTGCCAGTTTGCCAGTGATAACTTTCTAAGAATTTATTTTCAATCACCTTCATTGCGAACCAAGTACTCTCTACCACAGAACCCTATAACCAAACTGATGAGATATGATTCAGGTAATACTGGGGAAAATACTATCTTTATTAATTAGCTGAACACCCAGTAAATTTGTGGATAATAGCAAATTCTGTGTATGCAGTGGAGTGAAGAGGAGTCAATGCTTCAGTAAACCTCTGGAGGACAGGGCTGATGTTCAGTGGGTACTGGAAACCTGAAGGAATGGGCTGGCACAATTTAAGTTTTGCATCTGCAGTGGAAAATCCCTACACAACAGAACAGGTTGGGGGCTGATTGGATAGGAAGCAGCTTTGTCTATCGGGGCAAGATGTTTCAACAGCATGCCTTTGTGGCAAAGGAAATCAGCCTGACCACTCTCTACAACTTCATGAAAGAAGTTGTAGTGAGCTGGGGGTTGGTCTCTTGTCCCATGTAACAAATAATAGGATAAGACGAAATGGCCTCAAGTTGTGCCAGGGAGGCTTAGATTAGCAGTAGCATCTTTGGAGGTATTTAAAAGACTTGTAGATGGGACACTCAAGGACTTGGTTTAGTGGTAGAGTTGGCAGTATTGGGTTTGTGGTTGGACTCAATGAACTTAGAGATTTTTTCAAACTTAAAAAATTCTATGATTCTGCAATTCTCCTTTTCTCCCTTAAGTACAGTGCTTCTTTCACCATGAGAAATATGGAGTCAGATGGAGCCCAGAATGGAAACCCAGGTGTCAGGGACAAGGCACCTAAAAGGCAGGCCTTGTATAATTTCCTTATGAGATCCAAATCCTCACCAGGATCTGGTGTTTTATTTCTATACAGGGATTACATAAAATAGTATATATAAATTTGCCATGATTAATTCCTTTTCTTCCTTTGTGTGTGTGTGTGTTTCTAGGCAGAACATAATATGGATGTTTGGCAGGAATCTTGTACATACACAAAAATAAGTAAACCACCTGAGGGCCTAAAAAATTAGCTGGGGTCAAATCCTGAATTTAACTGAAGATCCCTGTAAAATCATGAACTTAAACTACACCCACATTTCCCAGGTGCAAATCAGCAACTGCAGAACAAATAAGCCTCCTACAGAGTGTTTTATCTGGTCTAGAAAAGCAAGCACAACTATATGAGATATTTGATAGAAAATATCCATCATTGTGCCTTTGATCAACTAAATAGAATGTCTTTCCCACCTCAGAGAAGCTGAGGTCTGGATGTTTTTCTCCCCAGGAGAAAAATGATGCATACTTTTCAAGCTGCATGATGTCTGACTTCGGTATCTACTCATGCCTGATGAGAAATCAGGGATTATAGATCAGAAAATCAAGGCAGAAGGAAGTCTTTAAACTTTGAGAGCTATTTTGAGGATGCTGTCTTGATCTTTGATGATATGGCATCTCTCATGTTACTTACAGTAATTCTAAGGCTCAGGGAGCTCTGAGCTCAGCATGAACCCAGAAGATATGCTTCAAATGCACTTATTTTCAATATTGTCCTGTTTAAATTTTTGTATTTTTTAAATGCTAAGTTCATATCACACACATGGGAGCTATAGTAGTAAAAGCTAGACTTGAATAAATGCTTTCAGTAATCAGGGTACTAAATTATAATAAATTAAGATTACTAGAGAAGTAATTTCTATTCAAGGTATTTTTAACTGCATGGACTGACTAAGACTAGATTCATAAAACAAGGATTTAGACAAAATCTGTATTCAGGATGCTGGTCAGAACTTTGAGGAAGATCATGATATCTGGAGATTTCCAAAGCTCTTATCTAAACTTACCTATCCACCAATGAATGTTTTTCTATCTTAGACCTGTCACATTAGACACTCCCTTGCCTATCTATCTCATTTATCAGGCTCAGACAACTCTGTTAGGGAGGTTCTGCACTCAAACCAGCTAGTTTTAATTCAAACAATCCACATGCAGTTCTCTTCCCAAAAGGGTGCAAAATCAGGTCCCCTAGTTTTTGAAACAGTTTGTGACCACCAAGTTATACCACGTTGTGAGACAGAGGAGCTATACCTCCATAATGGTTCATTTATATAGCTGTGGCTATTTCATTGCTACAACTTTCTAGCCTAGTGGTTTGGTCACATCTGAACAGTGAGAAAGTTGCATTCCAATTTCCATTTTAGGAAACATGTAAGTAGTTTATATTAAGCGTCAATTAGAATAAGTCTGCAGCATATTTCTCCTATTTCTTTGGGAGTATATGGCAGATTCAGCACTTCTCTTTCTGTACTCTAATGACTATCAGGAGACAGGTGACTACATACCCAGGAAGACTGATAAGGGGCTAGAGCCCAAATAAAAAACAGTGTGGGCACAAGCATTAGCTAATAGCTGTCACATGAATATTGCTATGACAGCAATATACCTGTGCTTATAAAATCTTCCCTGTTGATACTTGTAAGGACCTCAGCAGTTCTCCTGCATCTCAAAACAAGTACTTCTTAGTACAGTCTTTTCAGAGAAGAGTGGATTTATGAAAAAGTGTATTTGTGCAGAGTTGAAATTATGTGTAAATTCAGACTGCATCCAACAAAGAATTTCAGTTAGAAAAGATGAAAAATGTTGAAATATTGAAATATTCTATTTCAGTATTTTAAAGGGAAAAGGCTACGCTGTAATTTCATATAACCATTTTTCTTAATCATAAAATTCTTTTTGAAAATTAACCTAAATTGGCAGGAAAGGGAACAAGAAAGTGCTAAGCAGCGACTTTATTCACATAAATGAGAACTAAAACAAGCTACAAAAGGTTGAAATAAATACTTCTAGCTAATTCAAGATGAGGTTCCTTTGTTTATTGTAATAAATCAAAAATCCTCAAAAAGTCAAATTGTGACTTGACCAAATTTTGCCTATGATACTTCACAGCCAAATTCATGACTTGGCCAGATCCAGCATACATTCATGTGCTTGGTGAAAAGGCCAAACCACAGGTGGGAGGACAAACAATCTTTGCTAATGATCTCATTCTCACAGCCACAGCATAAGCCAGCACTGGGATTTATTTATTTCTTCTCAAAATGAAAATCCTGAGTATACAGAGAACAGCAAAACCGGAAGAAAAGCATTTCCTTCTGTTTTTTTTTTCAGCTACTGTCAAATAGTTATGCTCAGGTGTTTTCTTTTTAAAAACTATATATTTAGAACACAAAGCCATGAAATATTTAACACCATTCTTGAAAAGTGATTTATACAGAATTTTAATTACATTTATTATTTAACAGGCGAATGGCAAAACTTACTTTAGGTTCCTCAGAGCATTTCAGATATTAGCAGGCTATATAGAGATAAGAATAACAGGATTACTAGGGATGCAAATACTATACAGCAGAATTAAAAACTACAATTAATATGGCTATTACTATCACTTTAGAACTATGCTACAATCTATTATGCTTTCTTAGCCAGTTACTGAAATTCTTTGTCCCACACACAAAGAATCTGTAGTATAATAAAGTTAGTAATGAAATAATTAAACCTTTCAGAATAAAAAAGGATCACTCGCAAAAAAAAAAAAAGGTAAATGCAGTTCACTTACTCAACAGTCATACTATTGTTTTTTAAGCATTACAAATTTTTAAAAGGTTTATCACTTCATGCTGTACATAGATCTTTTGAAAAATATTGGAGCATGTATTTCTCTGAACATCTAAATCAGTTTTTAAAAGCAAAATTTTGCTTATAATCTGCAATAAGAATTACAGCAACAAAAAAAACACTGAGTGTTATTTCAGGAGTAACAAATAAAGTATACAAGCTTTAAAAAATTTCTCATGCCAATAGTGGTTGTTTTTCTGTTATTGTGGTTTAATATGGTTCCAGAATTCCCTTGGCTTTAAGACCAATGACTTTTTTTAAGTGTAAAACATACCTAATTTTTCTTACCTTATGCTGAAGGACAGGTTGATTTGTTAGGTGTTTCATTTTTTTCCACATATTAAAAATTAAGCAATAAGGCACAATGTGGAGGAGTGATTATCTGATGATAACCCCAGCATCCTGAAATTGCTTTATTGCAAAGATAAGTATATTTTAGATTGTTCACTGGATATTAAGAGCATTAGCATGTTTAATCCTTCCCTTCAGAATATTAAATTCATAAGGCTTTTTTTAATCTAAGCTATTTTTCAGTGCGCAAGACAGGACTTCATCTACTCAAGAAATACTGTAATTGGCTGGTGCATACTCCACTGAGGACATTAATTTACAAGCACTGTACAGTTCTGCTAAAACTACTTCTCAACATTTCAAAATGTCAATAGTATATTTTCCCAGCCCTGTAAACACATTTTGATACACAATATAAACTTTAATGGTAGCTTTAAGACACTTCTGGGGGTAAGACACAGTAGGGTGTGAATTATGGTATAATAATTCCCTACCAATTGCACTGTTAGGCATGAGGCCAAAGGCCAGGGGACCAATGAACACACTGGGTGTGAATTATTACATCATAAGTCACATTCTAGAGTGTCTTACTGACATTAGAGAAATATTTAAAATATGTTTTAACCCAAATACTTTATTCCTATAGTACTTTATTTTAATGGAGTATCCTGAAAAATCTTTCCAGGTAAAAACTGAGCCATTATGTAACCTGAAATTAAAAACAAAATTGAAACAAAACAAAACAAAAAATCTTCTATCTACTGCTATTTAAATTTTTCAAATTGCACTGTTATAACATGCTTTAAGAAAGAGTCCCAGAAAATATGTTATACCTCGGTTTACAAAGAACTGTACAAAGGCCTTCTGCACATGGGGGAATAACTGGATATGCTCATTGCCTGGAGAGTCAGATTGCTACAATCAAGTTTGTACTGGCTTCTCCCATGTAACTGTATTGATGAAACTGCTAAAAAATCTACATACTTTTTTCCCACCCTTGGTTCATAGTGCTGTAACAGGCCACAATATAGACTCTGAACAAGTAGCAGAAAGGTTTCTTAGACCCCATTTGCGCTCCTGTAGATGAGGCCTCTCACAGCTCTAACACAGCTCTTAGTAAGGACTGCAAGCAGGATAATGTATATTTATACCGTTTCCCATTTTAAACTCCATTTGACAAATGCATTTTCTCCCCTCTGGGTACTCCCGCATTCCAAGTGCAGCAATGACAACAGTGTCATCCAGAGATACACAAGCTCACCTTCCAAATAGCTTGGTGGCTTGCAGCAGGCTCAGTGCAGCAGCAGGGATCTTGGCATGATTTAAACTGGCTTCTCAGTCAGTTTTTACAGCTTGTCCTAAATTTCCAGGCTGCTGTGGATTGATTGCTACCAGTCGCCAAGCCAGCTAGTAAGCACTAGAGTTAGCAATATGATAGAGCTTATGAGAGGGCTATTTGCCAGATCCATTTGAGGAGCAATAAGTCTGAGGGTATGTCTGCGCATCTGAGTGCAGTGAACTGTTCAGGATTTCTAGGCTAACTGGGTGGATGTTACTGTGTAGCAATACACATTTATGTATTATGTATAGCAATGTTGTGCCATGTAGGCATAACAACTTTCATACTGGAAGCAACATAGTTGCAAGGTCATGTTAATTAGCTCTCTTGCATCCAGTTCTGGAGCCTTTTCATTTTGCTCTCACAGCAGGATCTCCGTACGTCCCTGGTTATCTGAGTGAAAAGACAGAAACCTCAATTCCTCCAGGCACAGCCTCATTCTGACATAATTGTGTTGCAGATGAGAGTTGCCTTCTGCATAACCTCACTCACAGTGGTTACCTGCCCCTTCTGAGTAAAGTCATGATCTACGGCCACTACATCAGATTAGGAATCTGGAGTTCCTCCTTTTCTATCTTACAAAGAGGACTTCTGTGAAGCTAAAAAGGTAGAATTCTGAGCTAACTTAGCGTGTTCTCTTCCTTGTCCACTCAAAATGTCTATTTTAATCTCCAGCAAGAGAAGGTGCTTAATTCTGCCTACAGCTTGATGACACTCATGGGAACAATTTGTTTTGTTGCTTTCCTTTAAAAACAAACAAGCAATTGCTTTTTGATATTCATCCTGCTTGAAGTGTCTGTCAAACATGATGGAAAAACCTACCTCTCTAAGGATTTTTTGACTTTTCCAGCAACTTCAAACCAAGAGTGAGCTCACTTTTTTAGATCTAGCTTAAATTTGAAAATATGTGTCTTATATCCATTTGCAAAATTGAAAACAGTGTTTTGTGGATCCCAATGGGAACGGGACAAACAACCAAGAAAAGGGTTTCACATTGGTTCTACATACTCCAAGAACTTAAAAATAAGTGGTCCAGAAAAAATACATATAAATTACACCTTTTAGTGGCAAAGCAGTATTTCAAAGACTGCTCAGCAGTTGCTGGCAGCATGTTTTTCATAAACTAACATTACTGCCCAGAACTCGTGTACACCAACTAGAATGCTGTTATTCTGAAACCATTTCATTACACGAAATTTGAGGTATAAACATATCACTGTGCTACCATAATAAGGACATAATACTTTGATATATCCATCTCTGTAAAGCCTTCTGGCTTGTAACAGTAAAATCACAGCCCTATTTTCATACCTCATTACCATTATGTATCTTTCCACTGACACCTGACCTTATGCATAATCATGTATGAATTTCAAACCATACTTACAATCTAAATGAGTGTCTCGTTATTTTACATAACCCAGAATGAAACAAGATTTGAGATGTAACTGTAGAATTCACAGTTCATACATTCAAAAAAGCAGGTCCACTGAAAAGAGGTAACGGTCTCTAATTTGTGAATGTGAACAGCACCAAATGACTCCTGCAATTAGGAGCTTTGCAAGAATTTCAGGATTGGATTTTAGAAAGGATATTGACAGTTCTGAAAAAAATAACACAGTCTTGAAACTGTTTGGTATGTTGTTAAAGATAAACTATGAAAGAAAAATGCAAGTACTGAATTTATTACCTGTATTTTGAAGAAAAAATGACAGCACCAATTGCATAAAGTTATAAAACACCAGGAATAAACATGTAAATAAAAATCTTCATGTTTGCAATGCCAATAGAACACAGACATCTACAAAGAAATATATATATATGTATACATGGAATATAATAAACCCATTCATTAGGGAACAAGAAACATATTTTTTATACTGTATAAAACAGCTGTACAGTGTGCATACAGGCTTTCATGATCTCTCTAAAATGTCTGTCAGTCACTACTCCCCATCACCATTTGCTTAATGTAGTTTCTTCATTGTCCGTGGGAGAACTCAAAGTGACTGTCACGTACCTTTACACTAAGTACTTATAGTGCAGTTTGTCTCCATACATATATACACACGCATACATACATACACACATGGGTGCACACATATATGTATACATGTATATATATGAAAAGAACAAACACACACATGTACACCCACACACAACAAATCTAAATAGCTCCTCCGTCCTGTGCTATTGAATTAGTGCTTATAAAAAATCCCTGCACACTTCGTGAAGGGAAGAAAACTTGCTGATTGTGCAGATTGAAGTCATTAGTTGGTTTCATTCCTGACAGTCTGCAAACACACACATCTGAATCATATGGTGGTATCCCATATGCCCGAAGAGAGTCTGTTGCAGGAGGTATCTTCTACCTTCTTCAGCAGTGTCGGCTTCTTACAAGGGGGTGGAGGTGGAGCTGTGTTTCTTTGCTCAGTGTTGTGCAAGATTTGCTGCCAATCTTCCCTCTCTTCACATAGCTTTCTCCTCCAATCTAGAAGCTCTTGCAAAGCCACACTCTCGTTCTCTGAAAGTCTAAGCTGATGAATAACCTGTGAGAAAAAAATAAAAATAACAGCAATAATAGCAATAATAATAACAACAATAATAGCAATAATAACAACAGTGGATAAAGTTAATTCTCCTAGCAGTGTTATACCACAACATCTGTGTTGAATGATACTTCACACAGGATCCTCTGCTTTTTTTGCTGTGGATGTAAGCCTGTAGGCAGAACAGTTTCAGGTCCCGTTTTCTCATCTCCTTAGTCAAGATCTCAGTGACATGTATATTGAGACATAAACAATAACCACTTCCAGCAAAAAAAACCCTCCCCTTGAACTCATGAGATGTGTTTTATACTGCCAAGCCCTGTGTGAGGAGGGAAACACCCTTGGAGCGTTATAAGCTTATCCACACATTCTACTAGAAATCCTGAGACAGTGTGAGCTGATTGCAATGTATTAGATGGTCAGTGGCTGTTAGTGCTCCCATTCTCCTATCTACAATTAAAGAATTCATGTGGCTAAGCACTCAACTTCTATACTTTTGATGATGGAAAGTTGCTATCATTTGAACTACAGCTGAAAGAAAACAGATCAAATAAGCCTGTTGATAATTTGAAGCAACCTTGTCCTAAGAAAGAGTTTTAAACTTTGTGCTTAACTTGCTGTCCCCACTCCCCATTTATCATTCTTTATACTGGAAATACAGAAAATTAGTGATTTAGAATTACTTATTGCAATCTCATGTCTGAAAGTCACAGAACTGAAACTGTATGAAGCAGGTGCCAAAAATGAAACAAATGGAAAAAACTCCCCTATGTCAGCAAACGGTACACCAGCACAGTTCTCTGAAACTCACAGACTGCCTACAGTGATGAGCAGTCTGTATTTCTAACAAACTGATCTTAAAACTGCTGTCATGTAATACTTTCATGCTTACAAAATACTTTCAGCAAAGCAAATAGCAACTGCAGGAGTAGCAAGGTTTTTCTCCTACATGTAAATACCCAAATAGCTATAAACACAAAACTATAACCTGTGTTAACCTGTGTTGCAGCTTAGAATTAATACAGCTACTTGTCACAGATTTGCATTATCCTTAGAAACAGGGGCCAGTCCTTATCTTCCTCTAGAGAACACACTAACAACTTCAAATGCAGTTTCAGCTCGCCTGAATCTAATTATAAATTCATCCTGAAGTAGCCAAACAGTTCTGTACTAGATTCATAATCTACCTAGAAGGAATTGTTCCCTCACATATAACTTCTCTGTTCCAATGATTATTTAATTTATTCAAGCCAGTTCGAAGCCCTCATGGCAAGCCCAAGTCCAGGAAGCGACGAAGTCCATCTCACCATCCTTTAAGATCTACTTAATATCCATGCAGTACAGCAGTGCCTAGAGTAGGTACTGAGATCCATTCACTTGGGAGTATTCCGTAGTAGAAGGGGCTTGGAATATGAACCAAACCCACCGTAACATTTAATGGCCCACAGCCCTCACCCTGCTATCTTCTTCCTTAAGAACCCCACAGGGGCACCTATAAGAGGCATTTATAGCATGACTAAAATGACAATCCTTCACCTCACACAGTGGACTCATTTAGGAAGAATGGCTATTCCCATCATTCTTGCCCTTATACTTCTTGTTATAATGAGAGATGGATGCATGTTAGTTACCATGATAAAGGAAATTATGTGCAGTGCCCTTAAATGCTCATGAGACACCACACTCGTGATTGGTTCCAGTTGCAGGGAGAGCTGAACTGACATGAAGGGCATTTTTGTCACTAATGGGCAAGAAGGTTCCTGGAGTAGAAGGAAGACTTCGCTATTGACTGTGGCTTCTGCTATTCCTTCATGGTACAGAGGGTACAGAGATACAGAGGCTTACACAGGCTTTACATGGTTGCTTCAAATGGGCAAGTCAGATCTTTCACACACACATGTTTTAGAGAAGGAATGAGCCCTTACATGGAGATGCCTCCACGGTGAATTTGCTTAATTTCTGCCTGGGTGATACTTCAAAGAGAAATGCATTAACCAATAATATCTCTTAATAGCAGGTATAATTTCAGTTACAGCTTTGAATTCTGCATTTTTAAGAAAAAAAAAGAAGAAAAATGGAAAGTCTTTGAAAGCGTTCAATAAAGTATATCTCAATCACGTATCACTGTGAAACCAAAAACTTATTGGCTTTTATATTTACACAAGATGCAACAGGGCATCTCAGCAACTCAAAGGAAAATTAAATGTTCCACAGATATTGCTAGAGGTATATCAGAGACTTCTTGTGTACCAAAACACACTTCTTTTTTTTTTTTTTCTTCCATTGGACTATAAAAGATTAGAAGGCAAATTAAAAGTTTGCACTTGTAAACAATTTATCAAGAAAGACAGGTCAGGAGGCTTTATCCTTTAGATTAAGGATACCTATGTGAGGCACCACAGCGTACTCTGGCCCCTTTCTGTAGTTTTTTTGTGTGTGTTTAAATTATGGGCATAATCCAGTTTAGAAAACACATAGATTAGAATTTAGTCTTCCCAATTTAGACACCTTAGTTGTATCTAAGTTTTAGGCATTTCATGAACCTGCACTAGGCGTGCTTCTCTGAGAGGTGCTGTAACATATAAAAGACAAACTTTGTTGGACTGTCATGGCAAGTTTCATACGAAAGAGTTTCAGAGATAAGTAAGTAATCAAAGTCATGCCTGAACACTGGCAGACAAGTACACTTATTAAAAAAATAGATATTTTGAAACTTTTCTATTGGAGGTGCTTAGGTGACAAAAGTTTGATAGCATGACTTTAATGAAGTACAGAAGAATTTTTAGTTTGAGAGATGGATAACATATTTGAAAACCGACAGTGCCACTGCTTTTCTAAAGAACATAAAGGCACAGAGGTGCAGGGTGAAAAGTGAGTACATTTTGCCTGGGCAAGGCAATCGACAAATGTATCCTATTTATAGCTTATAGGCACTGAAGAAGCTTTATTATACTGACCGAGCTTACGCAAGCTGTAAATTAATGTTGGGTCAGCAGTTTTGCTATAGAGCTCATTTTACATTGTACAGTGGACAAATGTTGGTCCCGTTCACAAGTATGTGCACATCTTTTATTGCCTTTTTTTTTTAAACAGGGATGGAAAAATATCTCAAACGTTTAGCCATTATGAAAGTAATCTGGTAAGTAAGTTGGAAAACTAGCTTCAACTTAGATGAAGGACATACGATGAAACTGCAGTTGAAATGAAATGCGGAAAATGCACAAGAAGTGGCAGAGCTCTAGATGAACCAATTAATTTAATTAGATCTATTTGAATAACATTATGTCTTTCTCTTTCCGTTTATAATTAGACCTGTGACAAGCTAAAGATCTACTATACATATTCATTATAGAAAAGGTTTGCTGAATAATTTTATATGAAGCCCAACATAAAACAGCAAGCTATGTTTTTTTCATTATTATTCCATATCCTGAGCAGGTATTTTGTTAAGGGTGAATAAGGTGTGTAGGAATTAATTACTTTAAGACAACTGATTTTTTCAGTGAACACTAAACAAACAACTTCAACCAACTGTACCAGCAATACCGACTGCAGACTAGGATTTTCCTACTCAAAGTCAATGGTGAATCAGACATGATCAACACTGCATTTGGGCAAGACCCACATAAACATACAACATTTGAATACCTGGCATTTAACAGCCCTGCCATTTGGTGGAAACATCATCCCTGTGTTTGGTTTTCAGTGTTTTTACTGAGCAAACAGGAAAAGCTGAAGTGTCAAAGACAGTCACACAAAAGAACAGCATGTGGTGCTACCACAGCTATTCATTAGAAACTGCAATGGCTTGAAGCAGTTTAACAAGATCCATATTTTCCACTGCAAAATATGGCAAGATGAACAAAATAAATTTGCAATGAGACGCCCGGGGAGGAGTCTTCAAGATTCATTATCACACCTCAAAGCCCAAATTCTCAGGCTGCAGAAGGAAGTGGTTTCCTCTTAGCATTAGGGATTTTAGTTGGTCACAGAACACCAATGACTCAGTTCCATCAGGAAATGCATGGAAGGACTTTCATTATCATCTACAGGTTAGAGTATATTGGGAAATCAGAAGATGTGGATTTGACTTTCTATATCGGGTCTGGCTAAGATGAAGATCATTTTCCTCACTGCATTGGTAGCTAGAAAGGAACTGATAACACATCAGTGGTTTGGCTACTGCTGAGCAGCACTGGCACAGCATCAGTACTGTCTCTCCAGCATTCCCGCCTCACCAGTAGGCTGAGGGTGTGCAAGATCATGGGATAGGACACAACTGAGACAGCTGACCAAAACTGACCAAAGGGATATTCCATATCATATGATGTCTGCATGCATAAGAGAAAGGAGGTGGTGGAAGGGGGGACGTTCATTATTTACAATGTTTGCCTTTCCAAGCAACCACTATGCTTGCTGAAGCCCTGCCTTCCAGGAAGTGTCTGGACATTGCTTGCTGGTCAGAAGGAGAGAATAAAATATTTCTTTTTTTTTTTTCCCCCGCCTTTGCTTGTGCGTACACAACCTTCACTTTTGCTTTAGTAAGCTGCCTTTGTCTCGAACCACGAATTATTTTTCCATCTTATCTTCTCCCCCTGTCTGTTGTAGAGGGGAGTGATAGTGGCACAGAATCTAGTCGGAGATCTGTCACCAGTGGTGTTCCCCAGGGTTCTATACTGGGCCCAATATTGTTTAACTTGTTCATCAGTGACTTGGATAAAGAGACAGATGCCTCCTCAGCAAGTTTGCTGATGATACAAAACTGGGAGGAGCGGCTGATATCTTCAGAGGAACTTCGACAGGTTGGAGATATGGGCAGAGGAGAACCTTCTGAAACTCTACAAGGCCAAATGCAGGGTCTTGCACCTGAGGAGGAATTATCCCCTGCACCAGTACAGACTGGGGGCTGACATGCTGGAAGGTAGCTCTTTGGAGACGAACCTGGGGGTCCTGGTGGACAACAAGCTGTTCATGAGCCAGCAGTGTGCCCTTGTGGCCAA